GGGGGGGGGGGGGTTGGTGTGAATTATTATCATATTCTCTAATGCTCTGAACGCACGTAAACACTAATATAATCAACACTGCAGGGAGTTTACACGTACTACCGTAAAACAAGGGCCTCTGCCGGTTATACATATATACCAAAGTATTTAGTGGTTCATTTCGCTGTGGCGACCCCTGATAAATAGAGAATGAGCCGAATTAGAGTGAGTGAGTGAGTGAGTGAGTGAGTGAGTGAGTGAGAGCTATAGTAAAGCGGGTAATGCACATTATACATGACCTCTGTTAATGAATGATAACCTTCAGCATTCTGTACAATTAACTACAGTGCACTGACAAACACAATACAATACCAGGTGTTACCATAGCAACTGTAGAATCACCACAGCAGATTAATTACTGTAGTTGTTGTGTTACTATAGCAACTGTAGAATCACCACAGCAGATTAATTACTGTAATTATTGTGTTACCATAGCAACTGTAGAATCACCACAGCAGATCAATTACTGTAGTTGTTGTGTTACTATAGCAACTGTAGAATCACCGCAACAGATCAGTTACTATATTTGTTGTGTTACCATAGCGACTGTAGAATCACCACAGCAGATTAATTACTGTAATTATTGTGTTACCATAGCAACTGTAGAATCACCACAGCAGATTAATTACTGTAGTTGTTGTGTTACTATAGCAACTGTAGAATCACCACAGCAGATTAATTACTGTAATTATTGTGTTACCATAGCAACTGTAGAATCACCACAGCAGATCAATTACTGTAGTTGTTGTGTTACTATAGCAACTGTAGAATCACCGCAACAGATCAGTTACTATATTTGTTGTGTTACCATAGCGACTGTAGAATCACCACAGCAGATTAATTACTGTAATTATTGTGTTACCATAGCAACTGTAGAATCACCACAGCAGATCAAATTACTGTAGTTGTTGTGTTACTATAGCAACTGTAGAATCACCGCAACAGATCAGTTACTATATTTGTTGTGTTACCATAGCGACTGTAGAATC